GTAGGAAAAGATGAGCTAGTTTACTCCTTTAGGGAGAGCAGGTATACAATAGTAAACCGTTGACGGTCAGGAGGGCATGTAGCATGAAGTGTCACTCCTTTATATTTTCATCTTCTACTCTTGTAGTAGCAGATTAGAAAATTGACCCTCTTAGTGCCCTTGGTTTTGCTACCCCACTTCATATGGTACAGTGAATTAAAAATTTTTTTCAGTCATTATTTACTGAGCCTGAATTTGCATTATTTTTTATAGTTTTTTTTAACTTAGGTAATATTTTATTTCTCTTGAGTATCAAATGGAGTTCTGTTCTTTTTTTACAGAGAGGAAGAGAGAGGGATAGAGAGTTAGAAACATCAATGAGAGAAACATTGATGAGCTGCCTCCTGCACACTCCCTACTGGGGCTGTGCCCGCAACCAAGGTACATGCCCTTGACCGGAATTAAACCTGGGACCCTTCAGTCCGTAGGCCGATGCTCTATCCACTGAGCCAAACCGGTTAGGGCTGGAGTTCTGTTCTTTAAATCCAAGGTATACATCATGTACTTTTGTTGTTCATTTGCTTGGAGGCGTTGCATGTCTCAGAGAGTAATGAGTCATCACATAGAATGCAAAAAAGTGATGGGTTGGTTCATGGCCAAACCATAGAAGTTAGTTGAGTGGAAAGCTTTTTTTTTTAGTATAAATATCATGAGATCTGAACTTGAGTTCTGCAGTTTTGCATCTAGTAATTCATTTGTTATCTTTTGCTCTTTTCATCTGAATATGGGATGGATGTTATGCTGACTTTGATTTTATTCCAGTTTTGTTCATAGATCAAAGGTGCACTGGTTTCAACTAATACTCTTTTGTGTGAGATTTGGTGGCTTGGGGAATTAAAAAGAAGTCAGTGAACTCTTGACCCCTATTCTCAAGATGCATCTAGGCCTATGGAAAGAAGATCAGTGTACAGATAACCATAAGTTCTCCTAAGTGGCATAATGAGATTATTTTCCAAGGAAAAAGTGCAGTGGGAAGTGGCAGGCCAACTCAGCAGACATTTGTTGACCTCCACCGTGTGCTAGCTTTCTGGTCAGTTGAGAGAACAGTAGTTCCTGTTTTAGAGAGCTGGGAATAGAAATTATATATGGATTGTGGTGATACTTTTAAAGTACTCTAGGTCTGTTCTTAAATTTTGTCTAAAACCAGACAGTTGTGTCAGAGCATTCACATATAGGAGTTATTTTTTTTTTTTTACAGTGTTTTCAGAATGTGCAACTTGGATGCTTTCTTGATATTTAAAATTTGGTCATTAACCATGTGATCATATATAAGATGAGAAATGATTTGAAAGAGAAAATATTTAGCATTTGCATCTTAAGTAAGAATAAATGTAATTAAGGTTCAGTATAGTACTTTCAAGTGTATTTATTCCTGGTGAGTAACAGTCTCCACATTAAACATGAAAAGTTCTTTAAAACTCAATCTTTATTTTAATTGGTATGAAGCATTCAGAAGGTAATTAGCTTGAGAAGAATGGTTAAAAATGCATAATTTATAAGCTAACCTTTTATATGAAGAAGTGACTGAAATATATTTTTTACGTGCTTAATTATGTTTTGACCGGATAATTAAAAGTTGGGTGTTAGTAGATTTATGAGCAAAATTTAATTATGATGGAATCTTAAGTTACTGGAGACTTTTTCTTAATTTTTAAAACTCACAGCAATTTATTATCACCCATCTAGATGAAGTAAGGGATTTCTTTTAGTTTTATTTAAAATTAAAGAACTTCTTGTTTTCTGAACCATTTGGAAATAAGTTTGCTGATGTCCCATCACTGCTAAACACTTTGTGTTTTTCCTAGAAATAACAATATTTTCCTGGTTAATCACAAAATAGCCAAGAAGCATAGGAAGTAATACTGATATATTTTTACTACTGAATCCTCATATCCCTATTCGAGTTTTACTAACTTTCCTAATGTACTTTATTAAAGAATCCAGTTCAGAAATATGTTGTATTTAGTAGTTGTGACTCTTGGTCTCTTCCAGTCTGGAATAGTTCCTTATTTCCTCATTTTTCTTTGGTTTTCATGATCATAACACTTTTAAGGATTATAGGCAGTATTTTTTTTAAATAGTATTCTTAAATGTTTGATGTTTCTGCATGACTAGATTCAAGTTAATGTGTTTTTGGTAGGAATATCAGAAATGATGCTGTGTTATTTTCCTTCTTCTTATCAAGTTCTGATTTCAATTTGTTCCATTACTGATGAGTCAGTTTGTCCCGTTACTGATGATGCTCATTTTGATCACTTGATTACAATTGTGTCTGACAAGTTTTTTCACTGGTGAAGTTATTCTTGAAATATTCCTTGTTGTAATTAATAAGTACCTGTTGGGAAGGTACTGATACTATGCATATATCCTATTCCTTATTAAACTTGTAGCCCATTTTATTCATTGGGTTATAATCCATTTTATCAGTGTGATATGAGGAGTGCCAGGTGGTAGCTGCACATGCCTTGGCTTGTATTATTGAGAAGCAGCCTGAATTTAGGGAACCTGAATCTTTTGTTTTGATAAGCATGCCTGCCCTTTGTTCCAGAGGGAGATGCTCTTCCCGTCTTCTAAGACTAGTTTCTGTCCAGACATCCTTGACAGTCTGGAACAAGCAACCAGTGCCTCTGTTTACACAGTGTCAAGAATGCAGCACACCCATGGAGAATTGTCTCTCAGTATCAGTTTCATTTCTTCCTACAGGAGACGTCTATCGTACATGTTGCCATCTTCTCCAATCTGGATTGTCTGCATTATTGACATTTTAGTCTACAGCACAGCTGTCATCTCAGAAATTTCCTTTACAGTCAGTCTTGGACTTCCCTTTGATGGGCCTGCCTCTTTCGTGTAGATCCTGTTTTCTGTTTCCCATGCTTCCTTCTTCCTTAGCTTGTTGTTTTGATGATGCACATCCTCTGGTGCTTCCTGAAGAAAAATAACTTGGAAAGTTTTAAAAAATTGACATTTTATGTGCTGAAAATCTTATTCAACTCACACCAGATTAATAGTTTGACTAGATGGATATAGAATTATAGGTTGGAAATAATTTTCTCTCATATTGCGAAAGTATTCTTCAGATTTCTTCTTCTACTAGCCTCCGGATTGCCTTTTAGAGGCCAAGTGCCATTTTGCTTCCTGATTCTTTGTATAGGATACCACCCCCCCTCCCCCGCCTTCCTGTCTGGAAGCTTGTTGAAGCTTTTATTCCTCCTGATGTTCCTTGCTATGGGTCTTCTGTCAGTGACTGTACTAATCATTTAATGAGCACACTTAGTGGATATTTATATTCGTTAGCTCTGCAAAATTAACTTGTTTCTGCTGTTTTCTCTTTCTTGTATTTTGATTAGTCAGATTTGGACCTTTTAGATTGCACCTCTATTTGTGTGGTTTTGTTTCCATTTAAAATGTCTCTTTATTGTTATTTTAATGGGGCATGTATGTGTGTGTGTGTGTCATTAACCTAAGCATAAATGTGATTAATTTGCTATGTTTTAGAACATTTTAAAATGCAGTTATTTAAAAATTTTTAAATCTTATTTGTCAGGTAGTAGGATAGCACTAGAAAGATTGCAAGAGTTTTTTAAAAATACATATATATATATATCTATATTTTAAAAATACATTTTTATTGATTTCAGAGAGGAATTGAGAGGGAGAGAGCAACATCAATAATGACAGTCATTGATTAGTTCCTGCACGCCCCACACTGGGATAGAGGTCGCAATCCTGGCTCCTGATTCATCGGTCAACACTCAACCACTGAGCCAGATTGCAAGAGTTTTTGTGCTTACATTCTGCCTGTTTTTTGAGGGAGGGGGAGGCATCTGGAATACTTTTTAAAATTCTCGCCCAAGGATATGTTTTTATTGATTTGAGAGAGAGAGAAGGAGAAACCTCAATGTGAGAGATAAATATTAATTGCACCCTGACCAGGGAACGAACCTGTAACCTTTTCATATATAGTACGATGCTCCAAACAATTGAACCACCTGGCCAGGGTCATCTGGAATGTTGTTAAGAGGTGAATGAGGCCCTAGCCAGTTTGGTCAGTGGTTAGAGCAGCAGCCTGCCTCACTGAAGGGCAGGTTCTATTACCTGTCAAGGGCAGGTACCACAGTTGATCCACTGTCTAAAAATCAGTGGAAAAGATATCCTTGGGTGAGGAGTTAAAAAAAGGAAATGAGTAAAGGTGAGCTTGTCTGCCTTTAAAAAGCAAGTTTCATGTCAGATTTACCAAATGGACTCACTCATTTTTTCCTAATCTACAGTAGGTACTATTATAAAACTTATGATTTGTCACAGTTCAGTCTAAAATGGCCTACTTTCAAATTATGTTCCAAATAAGAATCATGATATTTTATAGCTGAAACTGATATCTAATCTGGTATTTTCATTGTAATGTGTAGTAGCTGAGTCCTTTAGATTGTAATTGACTTACTGACAGCCAGATAAGATAGCAGAGTTAGAATAAGAACCCAGATGCTCTATCTTTTCTATTCTCATTATTTTCTAGAAACTCCACTTTGGCTTTAGCAATATAGGTTTTCCCAAAATAGTCAGCCACAGTCTCAGCAAATAACTCTTTTCTGAATCTCAAACAGATTCGTCTATGATCACTTGTCTTATTTCTAAAGTAACCTTTCCCCCTCTGATTTTCCTCTGACACTTAAGATGTGAAGGTGAATATCAAGTTTATTGCCTCCCTTGTTTCCAGTTAGCCCATAGGTGGCTTGTCTAGATAGATGACATAGCAGCGTGACTCTCTTAAAGGTGCCATGTTATTGAGAACTGAAGCCAGTATACATTAAACTACTAAAAAGATTTACATCAGATGATAACTAGTTTTCAGAACATTATTAGCTAGTATGTGTAGGTTCAGCAACAGAGTTGTTTTGATGTGTGTCGTTGTTTAGATTGATAGACTAGGTTATCTTTGATTAATGATTGTTTCTCTTTCCTAGTCAGCAGATAAGCAGCGAGCCCTAGAAGAAACCAAAGCCTACACCACCCAGTCCTTAGCAAGTGTTGCCTACCTGATAAACACCTTGGCCAACAATGTCCTGCAGATGCTGGACATCCAGGCATCCCAGCTGCGAAGGATGGAATCGTCAATCAATCATATTTCACAAGTGAGACCATACTGTTTTTCTGTATTGTTATGAGGAACACTTAATAAACACAGGTGATCTGTGATGTTGGCAGTGTTTATTATGTGAGTTAACTCATGTGTGATTTGGAAAATACAAACTCAGTATTCAAAATAAGTATTTTTTATTCTTTTTTTTTTTTAAATCTTCACCTGAGAATATCGTTTTATTGATTTTAGAGAGAGAGACAGGGAGAGGGAGAGAGAAAGAGAAACATCGTTGTGAGAGTGAAATATTGATGGGTTGCCTCCCACACAAGGTTCCCCTACTGTGGATTGAACCTGCAATTTGGGTATGTCCCCTACTGGGAATCGAACCCACAACCTTTCAGTGTAAGGGACAATTTTCCAACCAACTGAGCCACACTGTATCTTTTTGTGGAGTGATTTTCTACTCTGTAATTTTGTTAGGGAAGTAAATTTTAATGGTTCATTAAAACTCAGTTGTCATGTTAAAATTATCAGCCTTCAAGTGAAATTTGTTTGTTTCTTCCATCTTTTACCAAATCACACATTTTATCTTTTGAAAAATATAAATGTGATAGCTGCTTGTAGGATTTTTGTTTACCAGGATGGTACCATACCTTAACATAAAGAGTAATCTAAGTGACCTTATAAAATTATCTTTATATAGAACTTGAAAAAAAAATTAGAGGAATATCTTATTTAATATTACTTAACCTTAAATCTGAATTTTCCACTAAAAGTGTTTCTTCCCATCCTCTATGAACTTCTGTAGACATTAAATGATTTATTGTATGTTGTACTTTTGTGTCTCTTAAACTAAAAACAAACAAAAAATCCAGCAACAACAAGAATTTTAATGAATGAGAGAGAACATTTATTCTGAAAAGACCTAGTGGAAATAGTCAATGGCATTTAAAAAAATTTTTTTATTGGTTTTAGAGAGAGAGGAAGGGAGAAGGATAGAGAGATAGAAACATTGATGAGAGAGAAACATCGATTGGTTGCCTCTAGCACACACTCACTGGGGGATCGAGCCTGCAATCCGGACATGTGCCCTGACTGTGAATCAAACTGGTGACTCTTGGTGCATGGGCCGATGATCAACCACTGAGCCACAACGGCTGGGCAGTCAGTGGCATTTTAAATTATTAAGTATATGATTAAATGATTTTCTATAGAAGGAGAGATATTGATTAATAATCTGATATAGAATTTGTAAGTTATACTTGAGAGACTTAAAGTTTTGGCAAGTTTGCAGTCTTAACAAAGGTTCTAAAAAGAAAGAAGAAAGTGCAAATGCAAAAGATAGGTTAATATATTAGAGTTTCTAAAAACGAGGAACAACTTTTTATAGTTTGTAGGAGTAGGAGAGATTGTGTAGGTAGGTAGATGATTATAAGCAAATGAGAGTGAACTATAATAATCTGTTTTCTGATTAGAATTCTGTAGTTCTTTGGTAGAGAAGAGTAGCAGCCTTAAAGAGGAAAGTGAATAAGTCTACTCTAGGTTGTAATTACATACATTTATGAAGTCATTCAATGCGAACATTTACTTTTGAGAATCACATAAATTTATATTTAATTCATGTGGTCTAATTAATACTATCTTTTTTTTTTATTGAGTTTTCACAGAGAGGAAAGGAGATAGAGAGTTAGAAACATCGATGAGAGAGAAACATCGACCAGCTGCCTCCCGCACACTCCCCACTGGGGATGTGCCCGCAACCAAGGTACATGCCCTTGACCGGGATCGAACCTGGGACCCTTCAGTCCGCAGGCCGACGCTCTATCCACTGAGCCAAACCGGTTTTGGCAATACTATCTTTTAAAGTTATTCTAATGGAATAAGTAAAACATAGGAGAGATGAATGGATAGAGATGAGAGGGTCAGAAATAACAGGGGCCTCAGTCAGAGCTGTCAAGCCTATGTTAACTGTCCTCATTTGGACGTGTGTGTGGAGGGCAATACCTGAAGGAGTGTGGGATCTGCAGGTGTAGCAGCTGTTAAATTTACACAAAATATTTTGGATGAAGGTTTGAGTAGGAAAAGTGGTCAGATGGAGGCTATATCTGTGAAATAAGAGTAAATTTTTTAAAAATTGCATTTTTTAGCAATTTTTTTAAGGATTAATTTTTTTTCGATTATGTTTAATGTATCGGTAGAATTCTTTGGCTTATTGATTGATTGATTGATTGATTTTAGAGAGGAAGGGAGGGAGAGACAGACTTATCAATTTGTTGTTCAGCTGTTCCACTTATTTAGGCATTCATTGGTTGATTTCTTGTATGCGCCCTAATGGGGAATCAAACCCACAACCTTGGTCTATGGGGTCAGTGCCCTAACCAACTGAGCTAGAGTTCTTTCTTTTAAAAGTTAATTGAACATCAGAACTATTTGATGCTCCTTAGACTAAAAGATTATTCTATAGTTTAAGAGAAAATGTTTTCTGTTTACAAAGCAAATTCTCAGTAAATATTCAAAGATTGGCAAACTTTTTCTATAAAATGCCAGATATTTTAGGCTTTTTGGGCCACATATGGTCTCAGTCTCATATTGTTCTTTGTATGTGTATGTTTTTAAACAACTATTTAAAATGTAAAAACCTCTCTTAGCTTGTGGGCCATTTAAAGCAGGCTTGGGCCAGATTTGGCATTTAGGCTGTAGTTTGCAAGCCCTTACTCTAAAATACTTCTCCCCCAAGTGTTTGGTATTTAAAATTTATTGTTAATGCTTTATTAAAAATATTATGTTTTTAGAGGGAACCAGATGTTCTTAAGATACCTTGAGACCAGATTTTTTTTTTGTGTGTGCAATTTGGGCAAAAATACTAGGTTTGGAGAATTTGGAGAGAAGATTGAAGAGGCAAAGAAGCGGAGCTGCAGTCAGGTCAAAGATTAAGATCACATGATGCCTGGAATGGTAGTAGGTGTCAAGCGTTATATAAGGGTTGTCTGATAGATTGGTTTAGGACCAGCCGATATCATATATCTGAGCTATTTGATTTCTTTCCTCATCAATATCTTTTTTCTGTCTCCTGGGTAAGAACCTTATCATTTTTCAGTCTCCTAGTGCTCTAGCTCTTTTCTCCATGTTAGTGGAAATGAACACTTGAGTAGGATTGGGAGGGGGGAAGGTAGGGGATCTAGGTTTCATCTTGATTCTTTGGCTGACTTGTGTGACATTTGGTTTCTTTGAACTTTACTTTTCTTACTTGTAAAATGATAGGACTGATTAGATTATTTCTGAGCTATCTTTCATCTTGAATTCTTTATTCTTCTGAGATTCCCCAAAATGATACTTGATTTGTATTTGCTTTTCTCTCTCTTTATTCTGTTGTTTCTGCTATTTGTTTCACTCTGTGCCCCAAATCACTCTGAATTTGAACCTAAGGATTAGAATTCCATTGACACTATCAACTATGTATCAGGGAGAAATACTTTAAAAAAACAACAAAGTAATAACCCATTCTCTAAATGTCAAACATTTTAAAATGCAAGACAGAATTATGAATATTTAGTATTAGACACCTTATTTTTTACTAAGAGGACAATGTAGTATTAGATAGTGTACTAATGTATACCACACTCTCCATATCAATAAGGAAGTATAGGCATACCTTGTTTTATTGCACTTTATTGCTTTTTAAAAAATATATTTTATTGATTTTACAGAGAAGAAGGGAGAGGGATAGTTAGAAACATCCATGAGAGAGAAACATCGATTAGCTGCCTCCTGCCTGCCCCCTACTGGGGATGTGCCTGCAACCAAGGTACATGCCCTTGACCGGAATCGAATCTGGGACCCTTCAGTCCGCAGGCGGACACTCTATCTGCCGGGAGCCGGTCCATCCTTGCTGTTTCAAGGGACCTGGCATATATGGCATACTATTCTTAATATGTTTGCTCACCTTCTTGGCACTATGTGTTTTAACCAAGGTCACCTCTCCGAGAAAGGTTGTTTCCCCAGGTAGGGATTTTCCCCTGAAGTTAGGGAGGGAATAAAACCCCTTCACTAAGTGCCAGGCGGGTAATTAATCTCTTTAACTACGAACAATCATGCTTAAGCTACATAATCTTTACTCCCTGGAATGGAGATAAGAAACGCCCTAACATTTGGAATAGAGATTGATAGGATTGAATCAACTGGTATAAATACAGATGTAACATGACAACAAGACACAGAACTTAGAGGACAGAACCTACACAGAACCTAGAGAGAGAAGAACTTCGCTGGAGAGAACATGGCAAAAGATCCTGGACAGAACCTGGCTACAGAACTTGGAGAACCCAGACAGAACCTGGCTGAAGAACTCGGCTACAGAACCTGGCGACCGAACCTGGCTGGAGAACCTAGCGAGAGAACATGGCTACAGGACCTGGCTGGAGAACCTAGCAAGAGAACATGGCCACAGAACTTGGCTGGAGATTGTGGCTAGAGATCCTGGCCAGGCTGCTGATCAACTGAACGCTGTCTCCGTGTCATTCCTTCTTCGCCGACTCAGTCCACACCTTTGGGGACCCCTGGACCTGCTGGGTTTGGACCCCAGCATATGGCGCCCGAACAGGGACCCTTAGGTAAGCACCCTGCACTCGGGACGGATAGGACTCCACCGTAGGAAGAGGGTGGATAGTCTTTGCCGACTCCGTCCACACCTTTGGGAACCCCTGGAACAGGATTCCCATAGGTAAGCCCCCCCTATTGAGAGCCCCCACATTCGGGACGGATAGGACTCCACCGTAGGAAGAGGGTGGATAGTCTTTGCCGACTCCGTCCACACCTTTGGGAACCCCTGGAACAGGATTCCCATAGGTAAGCCCCCCCTATTGAGAGCCCCCACATTCGGGACGGATAGGACTCCACCGTAGGAAGAGGGTGGATAGTCTTTGCCGACTCCGTCCACACCTTTGGGAACCCCTGGAACAGGATTCCCATAGGTAAGCCCCCCCTATTGAGAGCCCCCACATTCGGGACGGATAGGACTCCACCGTAGGAAGAGGGTGGATAGTCTTTGCCGACTCCGTCCACACCTTTGGGAACCCCTGGAACAGGATTCCCATAGGTAAGCCCCCCCTATTGAGAGCCCCCACATTCGGGACGGATAGGACTCCACCGTAGGAAGAGGGTGGATAGTCTTTGCCGACTCCGTCCACACCTTTGGGAACCCCTGGAACAGGATTCCCATAGGTAAGCCCCCCCTATTGAGAGCCCCCACATTCGGGACGGATAGGACTCCACCGTAGGAAGAGGGTGGATAGTCTTTGCCGACTCCGTCCACACCTTTGGGAACCCCTGGAACAGGATTCCCATAGGTAAGCCCCCCCTATTGAGAGCCCCCACATTCGGGACGGATAGGACTCCACCGTAGGAAGAGGGTGGATAGTCTTTGCCGACTCCGTCCACACCTTTGGGAACCCCTGGAACAGGATTCCCATAGGTAAGCCCCCCCTATTGAGAGCCCCCACATTCGGGACGGATAGGACTCCACCGTAGGAAGAGGGTGGATAGTCTTTGCCGACTCCGTCCACACCTTTGGGAACCCCTGGAACAGGATTCCCATAGGTAAGCCCCCCCTATTGAGAGCCCCCACATTCGGGACGGATAGGACTCCACCGTAGGAAGAGGGTGGATAGTCTTTGCCGACTCCGTCCACACCTTTGGGGACCCCTGGACCTGCTGGGGTTGGACCCCAGCATCTATCCACTGAGCCAAACCAGTTAGTGCATTGCTTTTTTTAATTTAAATCCCACGTCAAGGAAATCTGTCGGTGCCATTTTCCCAACAGGTTTAGGTGATGATTAGTATTTTTTTCAGCAATAAAGTATTTTTTAACTAAGGTATATAGTTGTTTGTAGACATAATGCTGTTGCACAGTTAGCAGTAAAGTGTAAACATAACTTTTATATGAACTGGGAAACCAAAACATTTATGTGACTCATTTTATTGCGATACTCGCTTTCTGCGGTGGTCTAGAACCGAACTTGTAATATTTCTGAGATATGCCTGTATTAGGATAGGTTCTTGATGTGGTTTACCTTAGGTAATTTATGGATGATCAATTTTTAAGAAATTTCATCTCTATCTTCCTTGCTGTTCTCTCAAATCTTTGGAAGCATATTTTAAAAAAGCTAAAAAATGTTAATCTTCAAACTGAGATTAGGATTTAAATTAACATTAAATATTTTCAAGAAAATATAGTTATCAGAACAAACATTTAATTTTATTGATACTTGTACAAGTACATATAACTACTTTTAAGTCAGTGTAGCTTTATGTGTAAGAATGAATGCTGTTTACTGTGTCTATTTCTGGTAAGTTTATAAGAAAGGTTTATAGAACATTATTCAAACTAAAATTCTTATAAACTAAAATTTTTTTAAGCCATTCCTATCTCTTCTCTCAACTACTGAAAACAGCTGGTACTGTCTGCTTTAGTTCCTCGTGTCTTAAAATATCACGAGATATCAAAAGGCCATGTAAATGAAAAGGTAGTGTTTCTCCAGTCTTCCCAAGAGCTAAAACGTACTGGGCTTCGTGTTCAAGTAGTTGGTTGAAAGCAAGTAAAGGAGATAGAAAGTAATGGTATAAAATAATAGCAGAATGGAGGTAATTCCAAAGGTAGGTACTAACAGAGAGTGGAAAATCTAAACCCTAAGAAACTCACCATGTAAGATAATATTTTCTTTAAAAAACTCTCCCTCTTGTTTAAAAATTCCCAAATTAAGGAAATCCCAAAGGTTATCAGTATGCACGCAAACTAGGATTTATACAGTTCCTAATTAATTTCATATGTGTAATTTATGAATAACTGAAATTACCCAGTTCAGTTTGTTAGTAACTAACTGTTTTATGAAAGGTGAATAATTTAAACCGTGTTTGTAATTTGAATAATTAAAGGCTTAGTTGAAATATTAACTTACTAATGAAGAAACACACGTTTAAAGTATTTTTTATTTTATTTATTTATTTATCTATCTGTTTATTTAGAGGGAGGGAAAAGGGTTGGCAAACTTTTTCTGTAAAGTCCCAGCTAATATTTTACACTCTGCAGGCCATAAGGTCTCTGTTATAACTGGTCATCTCTGCCGTTGTAGTTTGAAAATACTTAAGCAAGTAGAATGGCTGGGTTCCAATAAAATTTTATTTATGAAAACTGAAGTTTGAATTTAACATAATTTTCATACATCACAACATTATTTTTTAAATCGTTAAAAATGTAAACACCATTCTTAGCTTTTGGGTTGTAGAAAAAGATGGCGGGTGGTATTTGGTCTGTCAGTCATGGTCTGCTAAACCTTGCTTTAGCCTAAAACTGGAGAAAGTCAGTATTGGTGCAGAGTAGCAAATTAACAGTTGTGGTTAAAAATATGAATAACGATTTTAAATTTCTAAACATTTATATTTGATTTTTTTGGATATTAGAGCTATATATTTTTTTGTTTGTATTTAAATTTTGCAGACCGTTGATATTCATAAAGAGAAAGTTGCAAGAAGAGAAATTGGTATTTTGACTACCAATAAAAACACTTCAAGGACACATAAGATTATTGCTCCAGCCAATCTTGAAAGACCAGTTCGTTATATTAGAAAACCTATTGACTATACAATTCTAGATGATATTGGACATGGAGTAAAGGTAAGTATAACTTTTGTCAAACTTTTTAAAACAATAGCCCATGATGGAACTAACTCTAGAAAATTAAGCTTTTATCTTTCCTTTTTTAGAGAACCAAGTCTTAGCCCAGTTGTGGTTCTGAAGGGTCCTTGCTGCTTTAAACTATTTTATCTTCTTGCTTCTTCTTAGGCTATGTTCTCAAGTTTTAAATAATTGTCTTTGAATGAATTGCATTTGCTTGATCAGTTAATGATAATATCTCATATATATGATAAATAAATGTGGTATAATCTTATTTACCTTTTAATGATTTAATATGACTGATTAAAATCATTCGTTATGTTATTAAGTATTAATCTTAAAATTTTTACGATAAAAATTTATTAGCAAACTTTGGGCATTAGTTTTCAGAAAGAACATAAATAAACAAAAATGCACTTTGATTTTTCTAAAATAATTTTATCTTAACATTTTGGGTGAGAATAATTTGGATAAAAGTAATATGTGAATTAATATTTCCACTGCTTTTGCATATATGGTCATTGTATTTTTTGGCTATCTTCTAAAATTCATTTGAGTGCCTGCTATGTACATAAAGTACCATGATCAAAACTTGAGAGGTATATAAATTTTATTTAAATTGGTTTTTGTACTTAAGAAAGTATTCAGAATTTTAACTAAGTATTGTTATTTAAGTTTGCATCTCCCCAATGATTTTAAAGTCAATAACTTATGAAATGTGACTTGAATAAATATATATGCTTATAAGTGAAACTGTATAGTTTATGCAGTTGATTTATGACTATAAGCAAATTTAAATAAAAAAATACTCTGCTACTATGGCTAGTATGTGCATGAAAATGTACAATGTAAATTTAAAAACTTTTTCTTCCTCAGAATTTTGATAATAAGCACTATTTGGAATTTGACATTTAATTTTATAATCGACACCTACATATATTCGGATTACTGTATTAGAACATGTTAATATAGGATGTGTAATTGGATAGATAATTAATAACTGAAATTTATTTCAGCTTGGAAAAACCTTTTGAGATTTATTCAAGACTAGCAACTGCTAATAGAAAATTTTAGGGTACTGCAAGAATCTAATGACAAAAAGGCACTTTGAATATAAAACTATTTGTACTTGCTCACTTATATAATAAAATGGTGATTCTCTGCTTCAATGCTCATTTAATTCTTGAAGTAAAATGTTATTGTTTTAGGAGTGTGCAGTCCCTTTCAATTGTTTGGACTTTTAGTTGTTAGGGTCACTAATTTGAAGAAGTCTTTAATAAAGTTAAGGTTTTGAATAAAACAGTGTCATATAATTTCATCAAAAAACTCTTGTTCATGACACATTCTGCTTTAACCACTCTTTCTATGATCTACTGAAACATTATTTTTTAATGCTGAATGCTTAACTTGTTTTTCCTTTGTTTTTCCCTTTCTCTTTACATCCTGAAGTTCCAACTAACCTTTCAATGCTTTTTTTCCTTACCTCTTTTATTTGCTCCATTTATGCATTAAGTGGTTGCTTAGATTTAAGGTAAGATTCCAGGGCTGGATTTCCATTCTCTGTTCTTATGTAGAACATTACATATGGGGAGTGAAGAGATATTTGGCAGTTGGCCTTTTAAAACCAAATAATTCCTGTTTTTATTTATTTTTATTTTTGTCATGCAACTTTGTGGTGTCTTCATGTTTCATGAGGGCAGTTATTTTTGTATGTTCATTACCCTATCTTGTGTGCCTAGACTAGTGCCTGACTCTTCATTAGGTGCTTAGTAAATATTTATTCAATAAATGGTTAATATATTCTGTGAAACTGAAATGTAAGTTACCCTATCATAAACTGTTATTATGAAATAAAATTAGCTGGATTATGTAAATGTAGAAATTTTGTTAAGGGTTGGAGAGCCAACTAATGTGCTTTGTTTAACCCTCCCCCTGTGTAATAGCCTTTTTATTCTATAAATGGTGTGCTGTGTTATATATCTTGTGGCCACTAGATCATTATCTCTTGATTCTTAATGTAAAGAAATTGAGAAGCAGAAAATATTCAGTGTTACAGGGTGTGTTTTTTAAGTTGCAGTATCGTGTATTTTGCAAAAAAAGAAAATTAGTCTTTTTCCTCAAATTGCTATGTAAAATATATGCTTCAATATAAAATCACTTTGAGTTTCCAAGCTGAGGATTAATTATATGCAAAATATCAAAAGTGCATGATAGTGTTTAACAAAATACAAGTTAAGAATTAGAAATATTTTCTTTGGTTATTTGTTTTAGCAATATTTTAATATTTTGGAGAATTAATGGTAAAGACACTCTAGTTACAAGAAGCCTATCAAATAGTACATTACTAAAATTATTTCACCAAATTGAGCTTGCATTTTCTTTTTTTTTCCTTAGGTGAATTTTATAATTTATTTTCAAATACATATTCTTTCTAATACCTAGTTGTTTGCCATGTCTTCAATGTAGAAAGTGATAGCAAGAAGACAAAATCACTGAGATCTGAATTATTAACTAGCTACGCACCATGTGGCCACAGAAATTTCAATAGATTGTGGTAGGGAGATGCGCCTAGAGGAGCCAAGCAGAGGCACTTCCTGTGCTAGTGATGGTGCTGGCTCCGTGCTCTCAGGCTTGGTGAACGAGGCTGTGGAATTGTGAGGAGATTTCCTTTGTATCAAAGAGGTAGAGCCAGACCCAAAATAGTGTGTGACTACCTTGGCTCTTTCTCTCTAAAGTCTGGGTTCAAATTTTGGCTCTTGATATGTCAACCTTCAAAATAAATGAAATACACAGAGATTAACAAGGAAAAACACAGAAATGAACAAAATGGATCAATTCTTTTCCTTTAAAGTTTAGACCAGCTTCCCTAAGCTACTATCCCATGCTCATTTCCTCCAAACCTACTATGATTTCTTCTTGACCTTTCTGGATTCAGGATCTTCATGTGGAAGATAGGGCAGAATGAGTGGGAAATGAGAGACTCCTTGAAAGAAAGATCTAATATGGAAACATCACACTTGGATAAGATTCCGTAACATCTTTGTACCAGATAGCTCCTCTCCCCAGTACAGTGGCTCTGTACAGTGTAGCTGTTTCTACTGTACCTATGTGGAATTGACAGGGTGAGAAGAGTCCCCTGAGGTTACTGTAGGATCTAGAGTGCACCAATGCTGTCTTTTCTTTCTTCCTATTCCTCTTTGAATATGTCTGTGCTCTTTGAATATAAACTTGGGGCACATTAAGAATTTTGGGTGAACCAAAACAAAGTGAAAAATTCAGCATATAGCAAATCATTTCTCTTTTTATGGTGGAAAAAAAGATTAGTGGTTTTGGAAGGGTGATTAATGGAATAATAGAACATGTTGAGGTAGAGAATAGAATTAAAGGAAGAAAAGATTAAAGTTATAAGGGACTACAAATAACTAACTAGTCCCATAATTTTCCAACTGAGCTTCTTGGTGACCTGTGGATTTTACCAGGTGCCAGGGCAGTCTCCTGATACTTGGTGGTGTTATCTGCTGTTTTGATTTCTCCTCAGCTCTTCTTCCGCTCTGTTTTGTTCTCATTGCTATCAGATTTGATGCCTTTGGGATAGATAGACTCTAAACGAAGTTAGTACTTTGGGATCAGACACATGGGAATTGACTCAAAAGAGACTTCCATGCTTAAAAGTTGAATTTTAAACTTTTTAACCTCATATTCTGGTGTGTGTTTTAAATTTTATTTTTATTGTTGAGGTTATTACAGATGTCCCACATTTTTCCCACCTACATCCAGCCCCTGCCCTACCTCAGGCCTTCACCACATTATGGTCTGTATCCATGGCTGAAGTTCTTCGGTTAATCTCTCCCTGCCTCCATCCCCCGACCCCTCCACCCCAAGATCTGTCAGTCTGTTCCATGCTTCCATGTCTCTGGCCCTATTTGTTGGTTAGTTTATTTTGTTCATTAGATTCCACATATAAGTGAGATCGTGTGAAACTTGTCTTTCTTTGACTAGCTTATTTCACCTTCGCATAAAAATCTCCAGGTCCATCCATGATGACTCAAAGGGTAAGAAATCCTTCTTTTTTGTAGCTGCATAGTATTTCATTGTGTAAATATACCACAGCTGTTTTATCCACTCATCTATTGGTGGCTACTTGGGCTGTTTCCAGATCTTAACTATTGTAAAAAACACTGCTGTGAACAGAGGGGTGCATATATTCTTTCTGATTGGTGTTTCCGGATTCTTTAGATATATTCCTAGAAGTGGGATTGCTGGGTCAAAGCGGCGGTTCCATATTTAATTTTTTTAGGAAACACCATACTGTTTTCCATAATGGCTACAACAATCTGCATTCCCACCAGCAGTGTGCTAGGGTTCCCTTCCCCTACGTCCTCGCCAGCACTTGTTTGTTGATTTACTGATGGTAGCCATTCTGGCAGGTGTGAGGTGTTACTGTCATTTTAGTTTGTGTGGTTAGTAATGCCGAGCATTTTTTCATGTCTCTTGGCCATCTGTATGCCCTCTTTGGAGAAGTGTCTATTTAAATTGTTTGCCCATTTTTAAATTGGATTGTTTGTCTTTCTTTTGTTGAGTTGTATGTGTTCTTTATAGTTTCATGACTGACATTTAAGCCTTTAATCCATTTTGAGTTTATTCAACTATGGTGTAAGTTGGTCTAGTTTCATTATTTTTGAATGTACCTGTCCAATTTTCCCGAAATCATTTGTTGAGAGACTGTTTTTATTCCATTGTATGCTCTTGCCTCCTTTATCAAATTCTGGGGCCTCTGTTCTGTTTCATTGTTCTATATGCCTGTTCTTATGCCAGTACCAGGCTGTTTTGATTACAGTGGCTTTGTAATATAGTTGATAGCTGATATTGTGATCCCTTCAACTGTGGTGTTCTTCCTCAAGATTACTGCGGCTATCAGGGTCTTCTGATAGTGTTTAAAGCAGGGGTCCTCAAACTATGGCCCGCGGGCCACATGCGGCCCGCCGAAAACATTTATCCGGCCCACCGGGTGTTTTTGCCGCCGCTGTGTGCATAGGAATTTGTTCATAGTTTTTTTTAAAACTATAGTCCGGCCCTCCAATGGTCTGAGGGAAAGTGAACTGGCCCCCCCTGTTTAAAAAGTTCGAGGACCCTTGGTTTAAAGGTTCTTTTCATCTGTAATTTGGGTTGTTTTTTCTTCAGTCAACTGAGGAAAACAAGTTGTAGAGTTTAATTTATAAACCTTTGAACACAAAACATTGAAAAACCCTTTTTGTTTATTGTAAAGGTAGTACAGGAGCAGTGACGTATAAATTACAGATTTTTCCAACATTCCGTAGGGACTCTGATTTCTTAAGTGGTTTAAGTTACTCATCCAAACCTCATATCCAAACAGATACAAACATGATGATTCTACAGATCATAAAATGTACCAAGTTTTATTTAGAGAAATTTCCACCAGATTTTAATTTATATATTGTTTATTTTATATTTTGGTTGGTGGAGTAAAAGACCTAAAGAAGATACTGCAATTTAAATGAAAACACCTTACATACCAAAAACTTAAATCAGAGTTGGAAAGCTGATTTCATGTATTTTAACTATTCCATGTATAGAATAAAATTTTCCTTTACTCTTTTTCTATCCCTGCTCCTTTTCCTTCCTTTATAGCAAATTGCTGTAGTTTAGTATTTGGTTCACCAACTTCTCCTTCATCATTTAAAGTAACTTTGGGGTCTGTGTTGTTTAAGGTTGAGCTTAAAGGACTTTGGTTACTATTTTTAAAAAATCTTGTCATAAATTAAAATTTATAGTTTTAAAAGCTATTAGTTATTTGTCATGTTACTTCTAAAATTTTCACCAAATGTGGATTGATTTTTTAAAAAAACTGGCACTTTCATTTTAAGATATGATTAGTATACCCTCTGCTTATTGATGATGGGGAGAACAAGGATAAGTTAATCTTTATTTTATTCTTACTTGGTAACCAGTTTGTCTTACATTGTTTAAAAGCAACAACAAAAGGATTATTGATAAATGCTTCACTTTAAAAATACTGACATTTCAAAGGTATCATTTGTCATTAAAGATTGTTTTATCATCACACACAACTTGTTCACTGGGCTATTCATTTGAAGAGTTTGCTTCTTGTTCTATTATTTCTTGCCTATTCACATGACAGATAGTGTTTTAGGATTTTAAAAAATTCCATTTAGTTTTGATAGCCTCAGTACTCTGTATACAATTATGATTTATTTTCTTAAACCTTATTTTTGAAATTACATATTTAAATGTATTCTGATTCCAGTGGTGTAATGTCTTGAAGTTTCATTTTACTCATGTAATTTGAATACTATAGACATTCTTATGAGAAAAGTTAAGATTCTCTTTTGAAGTGTTTAGCAATCCAAAATACTAGGGGCTTAAGATAGCATTAGGCATGAGCCTATATGGTGAATATTACACTGTTAAAAATCTCAAACAATTTGAGATTGCACTTGAATTACATTTGTGAATGACTTTTCTCAGCTCCTTAAAACATCCCGATTTCTGGGGCTGGCTGTGTAAGTGCTGACATACTCTTTTTGTGTTATCTATTGTTCCCATTTTACCCAGCTTTTCTGCACTTGCATTTTCAGTTGGGGATAGGATAGCGAGGAGTCAGGCCCCAGCTCTGATTCAGGACTATGTTGCTCACATCTTTCCCGTGACTGAATTAATCTTCATTTTGGGCCTGAATGGGTCTCATTCCCACTGGAACAAGGACATTGCCTGTGGTCCCTGTACTGCTCACAGTTGAAGGGGATATCTCAGCCCTAACTTTCTAGTTCAGATGTTTAGGAACATGCTTTTACTTCTGGCAGTGTGTAGGTAGGTGATTCCTTCATAAGAGAACTGAAAGAAATCTGAATTGTAAGGCTGATCCATTATTAAAAGACTAAAATTTTATCTGTATATCATGCAATTAAACTTTATTTTGCATTCTCTAGTTACTGGATCAAAACTATAGTTGTATATTTTATTTGAGAAGCGTATTTTGTTTTGTATGATATACTTACTATCTAAAAAACAAGGAATTGTTTAAGGGTGTCATTGTTTCTGATTGAGTTTATTCTTTATTAAAACTGAAGTTTTTATAGTTATCCTATTTAATTTCAATTGAGTGTAGTATCAAATGGTCCAACCAGTGATCTGTTGGTGTGATGGCCTAATGGCAAATAAAGTCTTTGCATACAAGTTTACAATCATTTGAAAATTTCACATTAGGAAGAGTCCTTTGAGTACAACTGTAGAATAATAGTGGAGTAGAAATTGCAATTGAAATGCATGGCCTCCAATTCTTTTCCCTATTTAAACCTTCCCCTTCTTTGTTAAATAGCATAACATTATTTCCCCAAAATACTACTTTGTTTCACTGCATACAAATTGAATTTTCCTCAAAACTTTTTAGGTGAGTACCCAGAATATGAAGATGGGTGGGCTGCCACGTACAACACCTCCAACTCAGAAACCGCCCAGCCCCCCTATGTCAGGGAAAGGGACACTTGGGTGAGTATGTAACTAAGTAATAAGAAAATGATTTCATGTAGTGTTGTGGGAAACTAAACACTATATATATTTAATTTATTTTTGAAGATTTGAAAAGATAACATTTTCCTTCCTAGCATTATCTTTTTGTGAATAATTTTCCCTTTTCTTGGGAAACATTTTAATACTTTAAAAAGATTTTCTTTAGAATTTATTTTTCTAATGAATTTTACATTTAAGATGAAATCCTAACTAAAGTTTCTGGGTTATTATAAATTGCACTCTAATTCTTATTTTCATAAAAGTTTTAGTCTTTTGTATTATAGTTGCTATCCTTATTTAGACTGTTCCTCTGAAGAGCACTATGTAGATTATAAAATTCTATATTCTCAAGTTATGAGAATATTGAGCTTTAATTTGATCCTACAGAAGTGGGCTCTGGATTTGACTTTTGGCAGAAATGTTCAATTAATAGAAAAGCTTGACTTTTTTCTTCTGTAGCATCACAGTATAAAAACTTGGTTTATCGTGGAGATTTGTGATCAGGTAGGCATAATACACCTCAGAAGTCAGATGACCAAGATTGTGATCCAGCCTTGCTCCTGTTCTGTGGTCTGATATCGCCAGCCGCTTAGTAAATTGTTTTTTCATCTGTAAAAGGGGGTAATATTTGTCATCTATCAATTTTTCAGAGTCACTACCATGAATTGGATTTTTTAAAAAAATGTATAAAACAAAAACAAATTGCTTTGACAACCATTGTCTTTATGATATATGCTTAAACATTTTTAATTGACAATCTTGTTTTGGGCCCCCTCACCAAAAAAACCCAAAAAAACCACACACAAAAAACAAACAAAAACAAAACAAAACAAATGAAAACCAAAAACACACAGAAAATCATAATCAAGCAATGTGAATCAGAAGACAAAGATGAATTGGAATATAAAAAAGGATGATATTGGAAATTATAATTAGGACAGTGGGAAACAAAGGAATAAAAATTAATTCCAGCCAGAAATAGGATTTTATTTAGGTAGACAAAAAAAAGAATCCTGATGAATTCCAGCCAGGAATAGGATTTTATTTAGGTAAACAACAAAAAATTCTGCTTAGATTAGAGAGGAACGAATCTAGTAGATCAAATAAGATTTACTCCTCAGGCTAGGATGTAGACGACATGGTGGAGTATAATTTTGCAGAGGAAAGAGAGTGTCAAATCAAGAGGAAGTGCTTGCTTTATTTTCCTGTGAACATGTCCAGTTCTGTCATGTATAGTACCTATGGATTTTGTTAGGTTTTAAATCAAGATTATTAGCAAGGTAACCCACTGTAGTCACTAGTAAAGTAAATTTTCTGTTGCTCTCAAGTTTTGACGATTTACTCATATACCAATACTTGTTTTACTTGTGTGTTAACGAGGATTCTGCAGGCTCCTGTCTCTGGGCACCATCAACTGGTTGAGGGTCATAGCCTGGCCGTCTTGCAGTCTTTGCCTAGCCACCACATTTTGTTCCTCCGTCCCTTGTTTTTTACCTTGTTCTTGTCATTGCCTTCACTGTATAGTTCTTAGTCAGCAAAAGTTTTTTTCTTGCTTGAAACAACGTTTTTGTTGTCTGGGAAAAATTGTCTGGAAATCAGATGTTTGGAAATTAATCAGTTTTCTATTATGGTTTTTTATATTTATGCACAGTTTCAGAGATGCCTAAACTTTTTAGTATTTTAAGTGCAAAATCCTGACATTCCTCCCCCCACCCCTTTAACCCAATATCTCATCTAGTGCCCCTTATTTATTTTTCGTTATAAATGTACGTATGTATTTATGCAAGGAGATTTTGAGGGTAGCAGAGTGGCTGGGGTCTTGCAAAGTGATCTCATCCAGATCGGTGAACCATGATGTGAGTAACCCAAGAGAGCAGAACTTAAAGGAAACTTGGGAGCTTTGGAGGTGAGAATTGAGACATTCATAAGTTAAGTGAGCAACATCATTTCAGGAAAAGAAAGTTTAATTTCACATCTTGAGATCCTACTTTTTATACTTAAAAAAAAAATTTCAGTGAGGAAGGGAGAGGGAGAAAGAGATGGAAACGTCAATGATGACAGAGAATCATTGATTGGCTGCCTCCTGCATGCCTCACTGGGGATCGAGCCCACAACCCAGGCATGAGCCCTGACTGGGAATTAAACCGTGACCACCTGATTCATAGGTTGATGCTCAACCACTGAACCACGCCGGCCGGGCCCAATGTTTTTCTTTTAAAGATCAGAATCTCATCTACAAAATGTTAGTTGAGAATTTATCATTGTCTTAAAAAATTTGGAAACCATACTCTGAACACATGTAACTAATCCTATCTAATAAAAGAGAAACATGGTAATTAGCCGTACATCCACTACCCTTCCCATTGGCTAATCAGGGCAATATGCAAATTAACTGCCAGCCAAGATGGCGGCCGGCAGCCAGACAGCTTGAAGTGAACATGAGGCTTGCTTGCTTCAGTGACAGAGGACTCCAACGTTCCCAGCCTGCCGCTGCTGGCCTCTGAGCTGCAACTCTAAGCAACTATGTAACAAATATAGAAGCTAAACAAAACCCCAGAAACCTGCTTTAGTC